AAAAAAAAAAAAAAAAGAAAGGGAAGAGTACCTACGACTACTAAGCACTAACCCTGGCCTCAACCACTCTGAAGCCCTTTACATTCATCTCATTTACTTCTCATACCTTTACGAAGTTGGAGATAATAACCTCACTTTCTCATTTTAGGAATTAAGACTCATAGACATGAGGCAACCTATCCAAGGTTTCACAGATAATAAACAGCAGTTAAAGGATCTGAACACAGATCAGTCTGATTCCAAAATTCATGTCTTAATACCAGGCCTCCTGAGCTTTCTGAACACACACCAATACCTGGGTCAGTCCTGCTAAAAAGTACTTTTTTTTTTCTGGAGATGGAGCCTCACTCTGTGTCTCTCAGGCTGGAGTGCAATAGGCATGATGCCAGATCACTGCAGCCTCCACCTTCCAGGTTCAAGCAATTCTCCTGCCTCAGCCTCCCAAGTAGCTGGGACTACAAACATATAAGCACACACTGCCGTGCCCAGCTAATTTTTTGTATTTTAGTAGAGACAGGGTTTTATTATGTTGCCCAAGCTGGACTCTCCTGAGCTCAGGCAATCCATCGGCCTCAGCCTCCCAAAGTGCTAGGATTACAGGGGTGAGCCACAGAACCTGGCCTCATTTTTTTTTTTAAGAGTCTTACTCTGTCACCCATGCTGGAATGCAATGGCGCAATCTCGGCTCACTGCAACCTCTGTCTCCTGGACTAAAGCGATTCTCATGCTTCAGCCTCCCGAGTAGCTGGGACTACAGGCGTGAGCCATGACATCCAGCTAATTTTTGCATTTTTATTAGAGACAGGGTTTCACCATGTTAGCCAGGCTGATCTGAAACTCCTGACTTCAAATGATCCACCTGCCTTGGCCCCATAGTGCTGGGATTACGGGTGTGAGTCATGGCGCCCGACCAAAAATTACATTTTAGATAGTAAATGTTTGATTCAATTTGTTTGTCTCTAAAGTTTTTTCTTCGGCTTCTCAAAGACAGACTGTATTGGGGAAACAGAGGCAGCACAAGAATGCATCCTCTGTATTTCACTAGATTATAGGATAAAAGACAAAAACTGTGTTCTTTCTTCCATCTGTTCAGGCCATTGTAGTAAACATGACGGTCATTCAATAGCACATGAATATGTTGTGTGCACAAGATTCTGTCCCTAGCAGCCTCCCTCTCAATAAGAACAATCTGATTGACTAGACACATATTCTCTTAACCCATAAAAGTTGCACTTTGCTCCTCAGCTCTCCAAAAAGAAGCAAGCACAAGTTTTGAATTAATGGAAACTTCCTAAGTATCTGAATGTTTCTTTTTTAAAAAACAAAAACAAAAACAAAAAACCACTGTCTAGGATCATTTTAAAAAAGAGAGATGTGAGGGAATTTGAGCACATTAATTAATTTTGAGCAAAGCAAAGACCTTTGAACATTAATCAAGGCCAAATCTGATAGTGTATACAGGGATAAGGGGCCATCATAATCTTTAAAGCAGCAGGACCCACCATTTGTGCACACTGAAGAGGGTGTACAACTGGAAGTCTTGAGAAGAGATAAGAAGGAATCTGGTTTTTCACTGAATAATGACAAAGCTTTAGATCTTGGAGCTCTCCTACTTCAAACCTTTCACTTCACAAATAAAGTAGCTGAAGCCCAGAGAGAAGTAATCTGCCTCAAGTCGCACTGCAAGTTAGTATCAAAAGTGGGATTAATACTCATGTGTCCAAACTTCCAGTGTTTTTTCCATTATTTTACATTTCCTTATTTTACTTATCCATATGTAAGCACTGGGCTTGCTAATACTGTTTAATGAGGACGGAACTTGGAGTCTTTGTCCTGCCAGAAGATGTTTAAACTCTCAGGTAACAAAGACCTTATAGGAAGCAGCTTAAAATAAGCTCCTGGGGAACTTTTCTTTATGTGTCAAATGGGAAGAATAACTTCTGTACTGCCTACCTCACAAGGCTGTCCGAAAGTGCAAATTAAATAATGAACACTAAAGTGTTCTGTAAACCTTCCCACGAAGGGAGATTATGGGCACTCAAGTTGAAGTTGGAGGAGGAGCCTTTGATCCCAGAAGATCATTCGAGTCAGGCCACCGACTTGCAGTGACAGTCGACTTTACTCGTCTGTAAAATGGAGACAAGAGCAAATGCCACCCCCACACTAGGTGGTAGAGAGGTCTGAGCTGAAAGACGCAGAGCACAACGTGAACGAAGACGGTTATTCGCTGTCCCGGCCGCGCCTCCTCACCTTCTGCACCTGCTCTGCGAGCGCCACGAGGTCTAAAGGGTCCCCGGCCCGGTGGGTGTGGTAAGGGCTCACCAGGGCCAGGCCGCCGGGGGTCGGGGTGAGCTCCACCAGGGCTCCTGCGACACACACCCAGGAACACAGGCCGTGAGCTCCCGCCCTCGGCCTCCCGCGGAGCCCCGAGACCGGCTGCCTCGCAAGGGCTGACTTCCCCCTGCTGACTCCCGACCCGCATACCTCCCTGACCTGCAGCTGGCTGCGCTCCTTGCCTTTCAAGGACCCCCTCGGTCCGCCCCGGCGCTGCAGCCTCCTCCATAACAGCGCCTTATTCCCACTCCCTTGCGGTGCGCGTCGAGAGCGCCTGCGCATAAAGGCACATGGGCGGAGCTTCCGTCTTCCTTGTCCATTGGGCGTTAGAGCGACTGAGCTTGGCCTGAACTCGGAGGCGGGGCTCCAGCTGAAGCGCAGGGTTCCGCTGACGGGCGGTGGAGGGAGGGTCCAGGTTGACTGAAAGGAAAAGAGGCGGTGCAAGCCTCTGGGCATGCGCCGCCCGGCTTGGGAGGTGGGGCTTCGCCCGGAGGCGGGCCTTTGGCGGGGGCGGGACTCCGGCCTCCGTGGCGGGCGGTTAGCGGTCCTGTTAAGTCTGAGGAAGCGATGGCGGCATGCGCATTAAGGCTGCTGATCACACTGCTGGCTTTCGTGGCCGCTGCCTCCCAGGCCGAGGTCGAGTCCGAGGCGGGATGGGGCATGGTGACGCCTGATCTGCTCTTCGCCGAGGGGACCGCGGCCTACGCGCGCGGGGACTGGCCCGGGGTGGTCCTGAGCATGGAGCGGGCGCTGCGCTCCCGGGCCGCCCTCCGCGCCCTCCGCCTGCGCTGCCGCACCCGATGTGCCGCGGACTTCCCATGGGAGCTGGACCCCGACTCGCCCCCGAGCCTGGCCCAGGCCTCGGGAGCTGCCGCCCTGCGGGACCTGAGCTTCTTCGGGGGCCTCCTGCGCCGCGCCGCCTGCCTGCGCCGCTGCCTTGGGCCCCCGGCCGCCCACTCGCTCAGCGAAGAGATGGAGCTGGAGTTCCGCAAGCGGAGCCCCTACAACTACCTGCAGGTCGCCTACTTCAAGGTGCAGACCTGCCCGGAGCCGGGCGGCCGGGGTCCTTCTGGGGAGAGGAGTGTTGCAGGGTACTTGGGGAGCTTCGGGGGCCGGGGAAGTGTCCGCAGGGAGGGAAAAGTGGCCACCCAGCTGGGGAGATTTCCTCGAAACCCGGGAGAGCAGGGCCCTAGCAGGAGACCTGCCTCACCCAGTTCGCATGGGCAGATGCTAACCCTATAGGTCCAGGCTGGGGTTAGGGCATAGGCCAAGCGAAACCCATGGCCGTTTGGTTCCCCGGGAAATCTCCTGGAAGGAATTAAAGTAGCAGTTTGGGTCACCCATCCTGATGTCATTGTAAGTTTCCTAGTGAGAAGCTAGTAGCGGTCTACAATATCTTCCTTCTGGTTGGTTTTCCAGTGGTGCTTTTCCTGCTGCTTGATGCAGCAGCTCTTTTTCAGGATGTGAGGTTGCCACGTCGCCAGCAGGGGCTGCCTGATCCTGCCTGTGGGGGGACCCTCTGGCTAGCCTGTCAGGTTTACAAAGAAAACTAGTGTTTTTAGGACTGCCAGAGTGCCAAGCGTCCAAGTGTGCACATGGGCTTGGAGCGTTCCAGGCATGTTTGGTGGTGGTGATGGTGGTGATGATGATGATGATGATCCAGACACTGTTTCAAGCAGTTTGCATTTATTTATGCATTTGCCCTAATCTTCACAACATCCTGTCACGTAGAAGCTGTTATTGGTCCCACTTTATTGGGCATGGGGGGCGAAAGAGCTGTGCTTTTTATCTGTTATATCTGCACTTTAAAAGACCTTCAATTCAACCTAAAGAGAGATTTAGAGACTCTTGGGGACCTCAGATTTCTACCCCTCCAGAGCATTCTATCCATAGTTCCCCTCATTTTTCCTAGTTACTCGGAAGAGTGTTGGACTTGAAATCAAAACAATTTGTTTGTGTTGCTTCATCATAGCACTATGTAAAATTATTTGACAAACATGTATTGCATATCTACTGCATTCCAGTTCTTGTACAAGTAATTAAATGCTCGACCAATGTCTTTGCTTTGTCTTGCTTTGCTGTTAAGAGTTACTGTAGTAAGGGCTACTGCAAGGGCATAATCTTAAGGCTGTGGGATCACAAAGGAGGGAGACTCTAGCTTTGTCTCAAAGAAATTAGAGAGACTTCAAAGAAAAGGTAGTATTAAAGCCTGTCCTAAGTATTGCCAGGGGGAGAGGAAGGAAGGTTCTTCCAGATAGAGGGAAAAAAATCAGTTGTGATTGCAATGTCGAGATGTATGTGGGGAGCAGTAGGAGAGGAAGCTAGAAAGGTCAGTGAGGCCAAATTTGGAAGAGAATTCTGCAGGCTTCAGGGAGCCATCCTCGGATTTGGGTTTTAAAACGTGCATTCTGGAAGAAGCCATGGTGAATAAACCTTGGAAGAAGGAGAAAGTGGTGGCAGGGCACATGATTAGCAGATGGGCATTTGTCCACAAGAGAGGGGTGGGCGCAGTGGCTCACGCCTGTAATCCCAGCTCTTTGGGAGGCCGAGGTGGACAGATCACCTGAGGTCAGGAGTTCAAGACCATCCTGACCAACATGGAGAAATCCTGTCTCTACTAAAAATACAAAATTAGCCGGGTGTGGTGGTGCATACCTGTAATCCCAGCTACTCGGGAAGCTGAGGCAGGAGAATCACTTGAACCCAGGAGGTGGAGGTGGCAGTGAGCCAAGATCATGCCATTGCACTCCAGCCTGGGCAACAAAAGCTGAACTCCATCTCCAAAAAAAGAAAAGGAGGTTAAGTGCCTCAGTGCTTAGGAAGTAAAGAAGGCTGGGGGTAGAGAGAGGAGTGAGGACATGGGGGCGAACAGAGAAAGACAGGAGCAGAGCTGAAAGATACAAGCAATAGAGTAATTCCTTAAAAGGAACAGACCTGAGAAAATTTCTAATTTTACAGTTAAAGAAACTGAGGTACAGAGATGGGGAGTTATTTACCTGTGTCACCTAGCCAGGGCTGACTTGTAGTGTGCCTTTACTAGTATCCATGATAAGAAAATAAGTTCTCTTAGCATATTAGTCATACCACCTAAAATTCGAGCACTTAATCTGTGCCCAGCACCATGTATTACAGGCTGCATGTATATTATCTCATTGAACTCTCAACAATGCTAGAAGATAGCTGGAGAATGCTATCTCCAGATGATAGATTAGGGAAACTTGAGTTTAGAAAGTAAACTTTAAGTAACTTGTCTACTGCCCAGCCATTAAGCTCAGACTTGCTGCCGGCTGGTCTGTTTGATACCAGAGTCGAAGTAGTTCATTACTAGATCATCAGTGATTTATTTGGTTGGATTCTAAATATGAACCTGTGTTACTTTGATATGCTGGAGTCCATTGTTGTGGGAATTGTTGTGGTCTGTAGCCTATTTCTCCCCCTCGGATTTCTTTTTCTTTTCTTTCTTTCTTTTCTTTTTTTTTTTTTTTTTGGAGACCGAGTCTCACTCTGTTGCCCAGGCTGGAGTACAGTAGCATGATCTTGGTTCACTGCAATCCACGCCTCCCTGGTTCAAGCCATTCTCCTACCTCAGCCTCCTAAGTAGCTGGGATTACAGGCGTGTGACACCACGCCTGGCTAATTTTTGTATTTTTAACAGAGACAGGCTGGCCTGTCTGGTTGGCCAGGCTGGTCTCGAACTCCTGACCTCAAGTGATCTACCCGCCTCGGCCTCACAAAGTGCTAAGATTAGAGGCTCAAGCCACTGCCCCGGGTCACCCTCTCAGATTTCTTAGAGCTATTTGTTTGAACCTCATGAGCCCTGAGCTTTGCGTCAGAAAATACTATATCTGGACTTAGTAAAGTATCTTAGGATTTTTAACTACCCACCTTTTCCCTGAATGTCAGGGTCTTGCTCTGTCACCTAAGCTGGAGTGCTATGGCACCATCTCGGCTCACTGCAACCTCTGCCTCCCAGGCTCAAGCAATCCTCCCACCTCAGCCTGAGGAGTAGCTGGGACTACAGGCACACAGCATCATGTAATTTTTATGTGTTTTGTAGAGACAGGTTTTGCCATGTTGCCCAGGATGGTCTCGAACTCCTGAGCTCAAGTGATCCACCTGCTTCGACCTCTCAAAATGCTAGGATTACAGACGTGAGCCACTGCGCCCAGCATGAAAACATATTATATGGGCAGTCAGTCTTTCACAGCACTCCCCCTGCAATATGACCTTTGTTTTAAAACAGAACATTGCTACTTCCTATAATTTGGAACACCCTTAAACCTGACTTGGGAAAGAGCTACAAATCTGCCCAGGGCACTGCACTCCTAATCTCTGGTGGGTAGTTCCTGCAATAGGTGTGCTTCCTGGGGCTGGCAGGAGCTGGGCATGCTGAGCGGAGGGCTCAGGGAAGCAGGGATTTCCGGTTTATGTGGACTGCTCATGTGGACACAAACTGTAGAGTTTGGATGTGAGTGTTACCATCTCATGCTTCATTCTTAGATCAACAAGTTGGAGAAAGCTGTCTCCGCAGCACACACCTTCTTCGTGGGCAATCCTGAGCACATGGAGATGCGCCAGAACCTAGACTATTACCAAACCATGTCTGGAGTGAAGGAGGACGACTTCAAGGATCTTGAGGCTCAACCCCATATGGTGAAAAAAACTTTATCCCTTCTTTCTCTCTTTCTTTTTAAATTCATTTTAGAGACACAGTCTTGCTCTGTCACCCAGGCTGCAGTGCAGTGGCATGATCATAGCTCACTGTAACCTCAAATTCCTGGACTCAAGAGACCCTCCAGTCTCGGCCTCCTAAGAAGCTGGGACTACAGGCATGCGTTCTTTCTTTTTTTTTTTTTTTAAATGACATTACTGGGGTTGTTTTCTAATTACATTATAGAAGTAATAAATGTTCATTGTATAACATTGTAGAAATGTAGATAAGTATAAAACAAAAAGTAATCATTCATAACACTGCCACCTTAAGAAAACCAGTTTATATTTTGTCCTGCTTTTTAAATCTTCTGTATATAATTTTTTCATGTAATTTAGTGTCATACTGTATACGCATTTTTCATCATCTTTTTTTTTGAGGCAGGGTCTCACTTTATTGCCCAGGCTGGAGTGCAGTGATGTGATCAAGGCTCACTGCAGCCTTGATCTCCTGGGCTCAAGTGATCCTCCCATCTCAGCCTCGCAAATAGCTGGGACTACAGGCATGCACCACCACACTCAGCTATTGTTTTTATTTTTTGTAGAGACAGGGTCTCACTGTGTTGCCCAAACTCCTGGTCCCAAGTGATCCTCCTGCTTTGGCCTCCCAAAGTGCTGGGATTACAGGTGTGAGTCATCATCCCCAGCCCCGTCATCATTTTTTAGCTAACGGTATTATCATGAATCTTTTCTGATACCTTCAGTTTTATTTGAAAACATAATTGTTTATGGCTACATGATAGTCCATCTTATCCAGAGACCATATTAATTCAGTAATCACATTTTTTGTCATGTACTTTTTTGTTTTCACTACAATAAATGGTACAGTGTCCCTCAATGTTCTTATTCTGTTTATTTAACAGGAAAAGTCTGTTGCAAAGGAGAGATTGTCTGTGATAATATAGCACTTTTATGGAGAGGTTATGGTTCCTTATGTTTTAATTATAAAATAGGAATATTAGAAACAATATAAGAATTTTTTTTTTTTTTTTTTTTTTGGACGGAGTTTCGCTCCTTACCCAGGCTGGAGTGCAATGGCACAATCTCGGCTCACCGCAACCTCCGCCTTCTGGGTTCAGGCGATTCTCCTGCCTCAGCTTCCTGAGTAACTGGGATTACAGGCACGCGCCACCATGCCCAGCTAATGTTTTGTATTTTTTTAGTAGAGACGGGGTTTCACCGTGTTGACCAGGATGGTCTCGATCTCTTGACCTCGTGATCCACCCGCCTCGGCCTCCCAAAGTGCTGGGATTACAGGCTTGAGCCACCGTGCCCGGCTTGGAATAAACAACTTTTAAAGAAAAATACTGTTTTCACCATTGAAAGTCGATCTAAAATGATATTAGAGTCCTAGTACATTAGGCTAACTATACGAAATTGCCAACACGACCATTTATTAGAGCTGTGAAGTGCCAATTCTCTAAGATGTAACGTAATATAGAGTTCCTAAGCTTGAGAGGATTAAAAAAAAAAAAAGCATTGCTGGAATTTTTAAATAAAGGGTCTGGGAAGCAGCAACTTTTAGTTGAGCTTTGCCACTAGACAGTCCCTAAAATAAGTCACTTTCCCTCCCTCAGCCTTCTGCATTGTGTAAAAAAGAAAGAGAAAAAATCTCAGGTTACATTTTCTCTTTGAGAAAATGATGAAAAATAACTGGCCAAGGCAGCTTTAAAGGAAATTAGGAAAGATGACTAAAAGGGGCAGAAAACAAAATTCCTGTGTTTTACATTCCTTTTAAACATTTTTGCCTGGCTTCACTTAATGAAAGGATTTGTTTGTGAACACCACCACAACAAAATTCAATTTTTCCCAAGACAATGAGAATGCCTTAGACTAGGAAACATCAGCAGGAAGAAATGGGAGAATAATAAATGGTGAAAGAGTTGCAGTTTGAATGAATCCAGGACGCCTGTTAGAGTTAAGGACCTGCAGAATTTTAGGGCTGGAAAGAAATTTAATGATGTCTAGAAATCAATTCTCCAACCTTACAATGGGACTTACAGTAGAATATGGGTCTGTTCAACTCCCAGTCAAGTTGTGTTAATTATAAAATGGCAGGAAAAAAATCCTATTCCACATTTCATCCAAAGACATCAGGTGAGATGTCTGGCTTTGGATGAAATGTGGAACATTCACAGCTCAGGGAACTCCTCATCCACCACAAGAGGCCTTTCATGAACAGGGCTCTCCCTTGCCTCTTCACTGCATATGCTTTGGCCTCATAGTCTTCTGTCTTTTCTGAGTTTCAGACTTGTGTATTCCTCTAAAGACAGAGTTGAAAAAAAAGGCTAAAATATCCCTCCAAAAGATAATCAAACCTAACAAGGAAAACTGCATCAAAATATTACAGGTAAATACACATAAGGTATTTCCCCAAAATCGTTCCTAAAAAAAAATAATAAAGAAAATTTGTTTTAGACTCAAACATGTAACTGTTTGAACTACCAGCAGATGGCAGAAGCAGAGGCTGGGAAATTTTCTAACAAAAGAAGAGAGGAGCTCAATATGGATTCCTGGATTCTCACATCCGGGAGAACTTGAGACCCCTGAGGTCTTAGAGAAACGCTGCAGATTCCTCTCCCTGCACCCCCCTGAGTCCTTCTTTTACAGGAAATAGCAAATTTTTTGCTTTAACAACATACATTCTATAATTTTAATTTTGAGTCAATATTGACACAGTATGGAATAAACTTGGTCCTCTACGGCTCTAAAGATTTTGAACAGATTTTAACTAAATAAAAAAATTAAAATGTAAAAATAAGTTATATTATGAAAAGTAATATGACTTCATAAGATTATGAATTCAAAAAAACTTTGCTGGTTTTGTTTCAATGACATTGGTTATCTTAAATATACTTCCACCTAAGTTATATTCACATCCACTTATAGAGTTAGCCAAGTAAGTTCACTAGAAAACACATCTTGCTAAGAAGACAGAAAGAATGGAGAAGAACCAGAGTTAATGCAGCTTGACACAAAATACATACAGATATTGACTGACTTATGACCTAGGCAACTTATGACCATTTGACTTTACGACCATAATCGCTAGCCACGACTGCTCCGCGTCTGGCAGTGCAAACGTTGCCCAGCCAATAAAATGTTTCGTACATGTTTATATATTTTGATATG